AGGAAAGAGCGGTCTTTCCTCATTACAATTGACCGATATTTTTTTCTTACATGACAAACTCTTTTTCCCGCTCCTGAAAAAATGTCCGACGTTTTTATATTTTTAGTGACGCCTAAAACTAGTGTAAATGTTTTTCTTTGTTTCATATTATCGTGTGTTCACATAATTTATTTATTTTCGTTTCATTTAAAAGAATAGAATAAGACTTGGACAATTGAATGTGTGTGTGTGTGTGTGTGTGAGAGAGAGAGAGAGAGAGAGAGAGAGAGAGAGAGAGCATGATGGGGACCCACAATATGCTGTTGTGATCTGTTAAATTTGATATTAAATTATTAATATGTCTTTAAAACAGTTATATTATATTATATATTATGTCTTTAAACCCAATATTTTTTTAATATCCCCGTAGACAGAGAGAGAGAGAGAGTATAACACACCCTGTCATGGAATGCAAACGTTCAAAACTGACCTAAAAAGTTCAAAAATGATCCTAAAAAGTTCATTTATGATCTGTCACTGTTCGAAATTTTACAAACACCATAATTCTACCCCGGAGGTCACGGGTCAATACATATGACAATATTCACATCTGGAAATTATTAGTCGGGTCACGAGGTCATCATCAATCAAAAAAGTTGATGTTTAGTCCCAGGCAATGTTCCCTCTAAGCTGCGCGCGTGCATGGCCGCGCACCTCTTATGTCGCGAGCCTACAGAATAAATAATATGCCGCGCACAGGACAGATGCAAAAATTAGTTGGGGAAACGTTGAATTCTTGTAAATGTAAAATAATTGCAATGCTCGGGCAAACGGCTATAGAGTTGGTGTCGTCGTCCTCCATCCTATGACCTGGAAACCGATTGAGCTCAGCCATCTTTGAAGGACATTTCAATTCTCTAATTGCACTATGAGGAGGCGCGGATGGAGGAGTGAGGAGGCTTCCAGAGGAGCTATGAGTGAGGATACACAGTTGTATCCTTTGTGGAAGTGTTCATCGAAAAACCTGACGCATGTATAAATTCCCCTCCCCCTTCACATCTTTTGTAATAATTTTAATATTTTAACTTTGCAGTTTAAATAAACCATACATGTCATATATTTCAAACAGGGCATCTTACTTTATTAATATTTATTATGAATGTCTTAAATAACAGACTTTAACAAAATAAGGGCAGATCCCTTTAGCGCAGCTGATGACGCTTTGAAGTGACGCTAAAAGGAGTGAGGATATATAATTTCACTTGATTCAATTCCACCATCCTTGCTTCTTTTACTCGCGTCCTTCCCTCGCATCCTGAAGGGGTGGAGCTAAGACGCGAGGAAAGGAAACGAGGATGCACAAATAAGAATTGAGAAGCACCCGAAATAGCTCAACACGAGAGCTAACGCAAACGCAATGGCATGTGAAATAAAACGTCATCATGTTTTAATGAAGAGTGGCTTGATTAAGTGTGCCCATCCATAGCGGATGATAGGCACAGAACAGTAACAAAACTCCGAGACATTTACAGTATACACAAGTGTACTGTAGTAGTGTGCAAACTCTATTACATGGGGATGTTTTAGACTACTGTAAAATAATTCACATATTCACGTTTTTTGAAAATATTTATTGAAAATATTTGTTTTTTATAATCTATTATATTATATTATAAGCCTAAATAATTGACCTCAAAAAGGGAATTCATGAGCAATAATTTTTTCATATTTGCTATATTAGCCTATACATTATATCATATTATATTATTAAAAAGAATTGAACTATTCTGTATGAGATATTTATTAAATTATTTTTTAATAAAATTTTTTGGTAACACAGTAATGTAAAATATTTTTCTCAGGTAACCTAAAATGTGCATCATTCAGTTACATCAAGGGTCAAATCAAATATAAATAGCACATTAAAGTTAAAAGTTAAATTTTTTTTGTGTGTGTGCGCGCTGTACAGGTCTGGTATACTTTGGTATTCTTTATATATAAAGAATGTTTTTGCTCAGGTGGCCGAAATGTCCGCCCAATAGAGAACATTTTTGGTCAGCAAGAAAAAAAAAATAGAGGGAACATTGGTCCCGGGTATAGACTACTACTGCTCATTAAGATAATTTGCACCACCTGTGCTTTACCATATTTAATTTTGTCTATTTAAGTAAGCTGTGTTCAGCCTGAGTTAGAAAAATGTAAGTGACGGTCCTCTGTTTCTGTTTGACCTACTTTGTTTATCTGTGGAAGTGTGGCTTACTCTTTTGTTTTTATTTGGAGACTGAGACTTAGTAAAGACTGTCTGTTATCTAAATCTCCTGGTTTGCCCTTCCTTCTGCACATTGTGGCACACTTCCATTACTAATAGCTCAGAAGTAGAGAAGTAGCTTCCCTGACGAGGAAAGTGTTTGAGAAACACCCGAATAGTTATGATCACCTCCACCCAAAGACTACCATTAGAACATAATTTTTAAAATTCCAATCCATTCCATCATAAACAAAAATGGCTCAAAACTGTTTTGGATGCTGTAAATAATAATAATAATAAAAAATAAATAAAAGAACATTTAGACTTAAGGGGGTCGCACACCGGACGAGAAGCGCAGCGCCCCGTCTAGGACAACTCGAGGTATCGCACACCGGACGCGCACATTCTATACGTGCGAGCTCAATTTCGAATCAAGTTCTGAGCTGCAAGGTGGGTGAGTTTTAACTTCATTTATTATTATTATTATTTTAAATATATTATTTTAATTGATAATAGCTGAGTTTTGAACGTTAATCAGTGAAAAGAATCTGTGTTATGATAAGTCTGTTGTTTTGTTGTATCTGTTGTCTAGGCAACTATGTTACATCGTAGCAATAGCTAACATTAGCTAGCCAGCCTGAGTGAAAACGTAACCAAACACATTGTAAAGTTGTTATTTCAATGAAACAAATGTACTGTATTTTATTGTAGGTTTCAGTTTATAATATCTATTTTTAAATATTTGTAATTGAATGGTAATAAAGAATATTCACTTCTAAATAATGCACAATATACAAAATAATAATGTGATCTGATGAAAATAAAGAAAATCATAGATAATACCATGGTGTGGCCATTGAATGTTTGTATAGTCCTAGATATAAATATATACAGGGCTGTGTATTCCCTAGTTGCCAAGAAAAATGCATCCGACATAAATGTGGGTGTATAATTAACTTATGTAATATATTAAGGTTTTTGTATGAATGCCCTGTTTTTCCTGTTCTTCCCAAACAGATCAAATTTTGTCTGACAACAAAAAAAAACTACTGCACTGCTACTTTTACGTCGAAGAATACAAAAACCCCCCAAAAGTGTCAATCGCATTTGGGTACACCCTCTAAATGAAAAAAGGACACAATTTGGCGCTTACCACCACATATAATTCTGGGTATTTCCCTACTTCGTTGATTAGTTTTTCGTCATTCATTGCGGTCCACTACTCCGCTATTTAAATTACCTGAAGTGTGTTGTGGCGGTTGTGACCTGGTAAATTCAGCAGGTGGCAGCCGACGACAGTGAATGTAATCACAACAGGCAATTGTTACATAAGCCAATACTGTAATATTTTGCGTATGTAAAAATGTCTCAAGAGAAAGATAAAAGATTAAAAGGACTATGTTTATTATACATTTAATTCTATATGTTTACATTTTATTCAAGCTGTAAAACTAATGTATGTAGTATTTTGAAGAAGTGGTATCTTGGTATAATGTATTAACAACGATTTGAGACAAATATGATGTTATTTAATATAAAACTATGCAGATGGCGCTCTGTGGCGCGGCAGTAATTTGAACAGCGTCCTGAGTCGTAGCTGGGCGCCGCGGACAGACGCCGAATGGCGCCGGCAGTGTGCGTACTCTCATAGAAAACAATGTGTTCGAATTTTAAAGACGTGGTGCGACGCGGCGCGGCTCTGCGCTTCTCGTCCGGTGTGCGACCCCCTTTA